TCCTGTCCATCACCTAAGTCACTAACATAATTTTATGGGATTACTTTGCACGGGGTCCTGTACTTTGTATTGGTATAACATGAATATCAGCAGCTTCAATCAGTAAATGTCAAAATCTTAATTGCCAATTAAGTGTTTTACACAGTGTTTCTGATGCCACAGTTATGGAGAAACAACTCTTTTTTTTTTTTTTTTTTTTGTCTTCCTTAGCTTCCTGCATCAATACTTGAACGCTGCTACATCTTCCAAAGAGCTGGGTTTTTAAAAAATACAGTTATCTTAAAGTTTCCCTTCTTTCTGCAATCTGACCTGCCAAGGACTGCACAGGGAGACTTTGGCTTGTGTGTATCTTTTCCAGCTGAGCCTTATGACCAGAGCTGTAGAACAAAGGGGCTTTATTGAGAGCAATATATGTGACTAATTTAGCTATTACAGGTCATTTATGTTTATTGGCTGCTTGACTGGCAGATCTCCTTAGAGAAGAACAGAACAATTATATCATAACCCCTTGATTGTGAAGATTAACAGCTGTTTAAAGTTATGAAAGCTGATCTTGCTTATAAAAGCCTCTGCATATAGGAAGATTTTCTGTAAGTTATCAATGAAGATACGCTGCTTAGGTATATGACATTCATGCTGAAAATGCACAGTCTACACATGTCTAACCTTAGAGGAGAGATGCTGCTAATGGAAAAAGCTTGAGAATTCCATTACAGATACAATAAGCTTTGACATCAGTATTTGCCATCCCTGGGACTCAGATACTTTTGAATGACAGCACTTACTGAAATGAGTAATATAAGAGTGTGAGATGGCGACACAGAGGTTGTGATCTTCCCTCCTGTCCAAATTAATGGCAAAATAGCTATTTAAGGAGTCTGGATTCATCTTTAGACCTGTTAAAATAATAATGTATGTTTTTGGATATTATGCATATCTATCTAGAGTTGTGTGGATAAATATACTTCAGTATATTAAAAAGTGTATTCATATATGCACACACATTTTGGAATGTATATTTCTATGATTACTGCTCAAAATTGTTAAATTCCAGGGGGGTTTTTTGATTCTCTGTTTCTTGTCATGCACCATGGTGTAATATAGAGGCCAGGGTTTTACACACATGTGGGCTTTATTTATCCACAGAACTCTGTAGGTCCTTTAAAGGAGGAAGAAGAACAGAGAGTATGAAAAGTGTATCTCAAATATCCTTCAGTATCTGATGAGCAGCTTGCAATCTCTTCTTCGATTGTGTCTTTTGTTTATGTATATTCATGCTGGGAGTGGTTGCAGGCAGCCTTTTTTCCGTTGTGGTTTTTTTGTCCTTCAGGCGATGGTGTGGTCTTTCAGGTTAATAGCAACTGAAGTCTCTCGTTTCCCAATGTGTTATTGTGATCGAGATGAACAGGACTCTTCTTCCCTGTTTGGGCTTGAGACTACCAGCTGTGAGCATGGCCTGATTTCTGAATGTAGGTTCTACAGCAGATTGTATAAGCCTTAAGGACCTAAAGTGTAGCAGTAATTGAGGAATGGTTTCATAAAAATTCCTGGGCTAGTGAAGAAACATGAGACTGATTTAAAAGGAAAATGGAATATAAATGATAAGACGGCAAAGAAGGCCCTTGCAGACTGAGGTGCTGTGTAGTGTAGAAGCCCAAAGCAAGCCCAAATCTGAATGAAGAGTTACCACATTTCTTCCTTCACGCTAAAAAGAAAGATAAGATAAATGACAGGAGAAAGGGGTGGGAGGAGAGGAAATTTGTTTTTTCTTCTTGGCTGCTTACTTTTTGAAAAATACCTTAAAAATGCTGTATTCAGTATCTGTACAAGTCTTTGTCATGCATGAGTATATGCAGTATGAGCATGCATATGAACAGATATTGGGAAAAGAACTGATACAATTCCCTTTTCAAAATGTAATATGTTTGCTTTAAGCCTGGTTCCCTTTCTAGCATTTGTATCTGGTTTATGTTTCTTTGTTTGTATTACACAATTAGATTATTGCTGTCATTACATAGGATTCTGTCAATGCTCACCTAGATAAAAAACTTATTCAGAGAAGCTTTAATATATTACTATATGAAGACAAATGTAGGAACTTCTATTATGATTTAACTTTTGAAAACAGCAGTGTAATAGAATATGATGTTATCATATGTCACAGTATTTTTATAGACTGTAGAGTATTGCAAATCCCATTGAGAAGCAATAGAAATTTAGACTATTTTAAAGAGCTGGGAAATTTCAAAATATGACTGTTCAGATATCCATAGACACATGAATGGGTCTGACAAGTTGCTCAGATTTACAGAACCTGCAAAGCTTAGTCTTTTCTTTTAAATGTTCCCATTGAACTTATTTGACCAAGATATCCATGTGTGAACCCCTTATTTCTCCCTTAAGAGTGTATAGTCAAAAATAAATTACATGTGCCATGCTCTATAGCCTAACTGCATCCCCACACCCTGGCACTTTCACAAGCCATTGTCTTGACTGTGGTGCTACAGAGAGTTACCCTTTAGATTAATTTCTTTAAGGCAAAAAAGCTTAATGGTGCCTTTCTGTTTTGTTCAGTAATTTTTCAATTGATTTCCCACCAAATTTTACAAAAGGCAGGGTGCCTTAAGAGATCTTGGGTGTTTCAGGGGCTGGGAATGGAGAGAGAGAGAGAGAGAGAGAGAGAGAGAGAGAGAAGATGTTTTTTAAGAGTCCCTCAAAGAGGGTAAGGCTGTAGTGGGAGTTTAATAGATGCAAAAGAAATCAACTTTATAGACCAAGAATTTTAAATTTTAAAAATTTTAATTAAATTTGATTGTTTATTAGTCAGTCTAACCAGAGGATGGATTGCCAGTAGGTTCTGTGGCTCACAGACATCTCTGTTTTGCCATTAGCAGGTGATTGTGGGCAGATCTTCCTCAGGAGCCAACTTCCCACCAAAATGATGCAACCCTTTAACAGCTTTATACCTTCTGTTTCCTCTCAACTACAAACAGAGCTGTAGTAATTAGACATTTTGCCTTTTCTTCAGGGATTTGGGCTGTATTATTTCATGATGGTAACAATGTCATTAGCATTCCTGACAAAAGAATTGTTAAGGTTTGAGGGTTTTTTTCATTTCTCAATGTATTCTGGAAAAATGTACCTAAATTGCTCTAAAATACCATATGTAGTTTCCACAAAAGGAAAAAAATCTTTTCCTTCATCTCATACCCTCACACATCCAACAGTTTCATAGTATAGTAATGTATTTCCATATGATACACGCAGGCAATGCAGATTTAGAATTTATAAAGCTGCTGCTTTCAACTCCACAGTGTTGAAGCAGAGCCAGAATATGTGAAAATTAAATGCACACAGTGGGCCTGAGTGTCACGTTCCTGTCAGAGGTGTGTCAAACCTCAGCCTTTCTGCTTCTTTGCAACACATTGCAAAGAAATAATTAGAAGCTAGTCTTGCTCAATCACTTCCCTGGAAAGTTTAGGATATTCATGGTAGTACTTCGTAAGAGTAGCATAATCGTGAATAATAACAGTAATTATTCCTATCTCAGTATTAGAGTTATTTCCTCACAAATGCAAGTCCACAATGAAAATATTCAATGCATATTGAATTTTCTGTAGCATAAAAGATTGCAGATGGGAGTTACTCTGGAGTAGCTTAAATCCATTTCTGTCATATAATAATTTGGTCATTCAGTCTTATCAATTTATCCAGTGCTAAAAACATAGCAACAAATAATCATAAAAGTCACTTGCTTGTGTTCTAGTATTTCTTTCATTTCAAAAGTTTTTGAAGGGAAGAAAGTACTTCATGCTATTTGCTGGTACCAGGCAGTGCAAAGTTGATGGTTTTCAGTATCTATATGCTCCTTTGGTTGGTTGCTGCATCCCAAATATAATTTATATGTGGGAACTGGAACTTCTCATTTTCTTGCCTTTCCCCCCCCTCTAATTTGAGATTTCATGTGTGATTCTGTATATTTACCTAATGGTACAAACCTTAGGGTAATTCATATAAAGTGAGGGATCCTTGATTCAAAAAATGAAGGTATAACTAGTGAGAAAATCAGTGTGGATTTTCTCTGTTACTGTTTCTTTAAGAACGATGGAAATAAAAATACACCATTTTATGTAGTTTTGCTGTGTTTTAACATTTGTAGCAGATCTCTGCCTTACAGACTTTGGCAGTATCACAAAGGTCATATTTTCTTACATTTAAATTATTCATGAAGAATTTCTTCAATGCACTAGATAAACTTGCAATGCAAAAAGAAAAAAAAAAACAAAAAAAACCAAAAAACCTGTCTTCATCTGTGTGTGTTTGATGCAATGGATTAATGTAAAGTTACAGGAGTTCACAAAAGAATAGGATACATAAATAGGAACATTTTTGTTGTTGATTTGATGTCACTGCTTTAGGTGACCAAGACCATATTGTTGCTGAGGTATTTCATAGCCATTAAGGATTGGGCTTCAGTGTTGGAATTAACCTGGCTGGGCAGGAAATTCTGCTCCTACAGCTCTGGTGAAGAAAGCAATGAGAGAGGAAGGACAGCTGAGCTGAGAGTTGCCAGCCCAGACTCCAGCTTTAGCCCATCTCTAAAGTGGAATAATTGCCTTTCAGTCCTGCTGTCCCCTCCTGTCACATCTCTCAGTGGGATCTGGGAAGATCCACAGCATTATAAGAAGAACCTTAGCTTGAAGAAAGCTCTTATATGGTTGTTTCATGCCTCTGAGAGATTCCTGTGCTGAAGGAATTTTCCTGGTTAGAAAACCAAAAAAACAATCAGCTCAGGACTATTATTGTAAGAGGTGCAGTGATGTGATGTAATTTCAGGAAATGTCATACAAAGGGTCAGGTTGGGACCGGAGGGGAGGTTGAGGGGCTGTGCACGGCAGTAATGGAGTGTAACCATGGACAGGACAGTGCCATGACTTGGCTGGTGGGGTTTTTTCATTACATTCATTGCTGATCTTTGATCCCTGTGTCCTCTTTCCCAGGTCGTCCCATTCCACCTACATCCTCGTCCAGCCTTCTCCCATCTGCTCAGCTGCCCAGTTCTCATAATCCTCCACCCGTTAGCTGCCAGATGCCATTGCTAGACAGCAACACGTCCCATCAAATCATGGACACCAATCCTGATGAGGAGTTCTCTCCTAACTCATATCTGCTGAGAGCGTGTTCAGGGCCACAGCAGGCTTCCAGCAGTGGTAAGAAAATTGCAAACATATGGAGTTTGTTTGTGACATGTTTGTGCCAGTTTTATGCATTTTTCTTTAATGTGCAAATGTGTTCTTGCATCAGCAGAAAATTGAGAGCATCTATGGAAATGGGGCACAGAAAATCTTACTGGTTTATTTAATGGAAAATTCCTAGAAACACAATCCATCATATATGGTGCTCCTTCATTTTACTGTAGAGAGATTTTTAGTTTGAAATATGGCAGAAGCTGTGTAAAAATATTATTGAATTCTTGTCATCAGAGGGATTTATATTTCTAAGTAGGTTTCCTACTCCTTGTTGCATCTGGTAGGAGAGGAATGTACACACAATAGTTCTTTGTTCTGCATGGGCTAATCTAATATATCATTTGGTGATGAGGTTTTGTATCTAAAAATGCATGTTGCTTCTGCCAGTCTGTGTCTGTTCTTGTTTCTGAATCTGTCTGGTTCTATACTTACAATGTCACATTTAACTAAGATCTGCTATTTTTCAGCAAATTAATTCTTGTCTTTCAGGCCACTGTTTTAAAACATTTGCAGCTCTATCAGTCATGGAATCTGTAGTGTCTAGGGTTTTCTTGTTTTATTCCTATTTTCATATTTTAATTTTTATTAGTAGGTGCTGACTTTTCATTTTGATAGCAAAACGCTGAGGAGTGAAGATGCAATCCCCTTTTAGAAATACAGACAAATCAAAAGAACCAATTCTAGCACCTTTTATTTTTTTATTATAGATATACGTTGTGTGTTATTTAACTGAACACAGCAGGTTTAGAGCACCTGTGCAGTTTGTGGTGTGCCCAAGGGGTGTCTTTGCTGTAACCAGGCAGCTCTGAGCAGCACTGGAGGCTCTGTGTGGTGTGGGACTGCTGGGGTGCACACAGCACACCTGAACACCCCCTCTTTACCTGGGGCTGGGGTGGGAGGGTGAGCAGGGAGCAGGATTTGAAACATTCAGAGTGGATAAATTAAGGATAAATAATTCCCTGAGCATTGGGTTAGAAGAGGTGGCCCTGGGAGCCTGTCCAGTGTCTGTCCTTGGAGCTTTTCAAGAACACATTGGCTGAAATCCTGAGCTGCCTTGCTGACCTCAGAGCTGCCTTTGCTTGGCCGGACACTGGGCTGGGCTCCTTCCATCCTGAATTATCCTTTAACCTTGTTCAGGTATGTGAAAATAGAATTACACAAAGAAATAATAATGCAGAAATTGAATGTGCTTCCTTGCTCCTCGAGTGTATTGTTATGGAAAATATGATGCCACTTTTGAGGGGGTTTTAAGAGATTTTTGGGGTGATCTGGGAGCTGCAGGCCTCAAAATCTGTAATGGGCAGCTCTGTAGAAGCCGTGGAAATGGGGAGGGGGTCAGGAAGTGGGTGTGATTTATATTTGAGTCAGCCTTTGAAGGGCTCAGCCATTTGATCCCGCTGATTGAAGGGTCTTTGTGTATTCAAAGGGGTCTCAGCAAAATCTGTCACTAAATGCTTTCAAGGAAGCATTTCACCTAACAGAGGGTAAGAGGGAAGGTTCTGCATGGTGAGCAGTTATTTGAAAGACAGTGAGCAGAAGTTGGAGCTCGCCAATGAATTTTCACAGGACATTAAAATACTCAGAGAAGATGGTGGGGTAGGAAAGGGGTGATGGCAGAGTGCTAAGAACGAGATCAGCTTGTGGAGAATCACAAAAGCACCTGTGAGTCCAAGTAACAGGAAAATAAAATGACAGGGGCCCTTAGGGCAGAGAAATGTAAATGGATATTCATGGAAAAGGCAGCGCTGGTTCCTGGGTTGGTGATGGATCATTACCTGTGTGCAGGGAGGAGTGCTTGCCTCTCTCAGAGCTCAGGAACAGGGAATGTTCACAGCAGAAGAAAGGAATAAAGAGTGAGAGAACATTGTCTAAAGGGTATGGTGGATCAAGCAGTTGATGAGATTTTAAAGGGGAATGGGAAAAGTAAATGGGAGAGGGATGAAATAAGAAAATCAAGGTCAGGGAATGTGAGCTAAAAAAAGAGACTTGGTAATTACAGCCACTGCTGAGGGAACCAGCATGGCTTTTCTTAGGAAGCCAAATGAAGGAAGTGGCAGTAAAACAACATCTGAAAATTTGATGGAAGAGCTCTTTATGTTTCATTTTAAATCATAATCACTGTTTCTTTGTATCCTTAAAAGCTTTGTGTTTGACAGTTGTTACTGTGGGCTGACCCAAGGAACCTTTCAGGCATCCTCTGATTGGCTTTGCTTTGTTCATTCTACATTTTAACACTTTTTTCCTCACATACCCCATTTACTTCTTTAATAAACAGTCATATAATATATAATGACTTCTACTTTTCAGGGTATAAGATGCAAGTGTTCTTTTTAAATATTTTTTGCCATACACACATGCATAATTGCTTGATCACCACGGAGTGTTCTGTAGCATGAGTTCTTCTGGACTTAATGCATCCTGTGGAAAATAATGAGCATTTCCTAGTGGTGTCACATTTTTTATTTAGTTCTCGCAATGTTTCTTTATAGAGTTTATAAGAAAATGTGACAGATAAGGATTTATCCATTAAATTGCAGAAAGTTACTACTTTTTGTGGCTTATCATTATCCTTGAAAGATTTCAGAGTGGCTTTTACCATCTACATGACAACAAAAGGTTGATCATGCTCTGGTCATGGGGCTTTTTTTTCTTTATTTTTCTTTTTAATTTTTTAAAATTTTTTAATTCCTTTGGAAACTTATCAGCATAGATCCAGACATTTGAGAGACAGTAATTAAATGTAAATATTTTGCTTAAATTTGGGCTTGGGTTAAAAAGGAAGATTTGTAGATACTTATATGTAAGGCTTAGATCCCAGATAATCTTCAATCATTCATAAATTTTTGCTGGCATTTTCTAGCTTCTTCTTTAAATATTTCTATCCTAGTCTTCAAAGTGCATGCTGAATATGAAGTATTTGCCAGTGTCTTCTACTAATTACACTGTAGAAGTTTCCTCTTGTTTCTCTGATTGGACACTTCTCTTGCTTCAAGCTCTGTAATTACAGGGTGGCTCCTCAAGAGTTTTAAGATGAACCTTTTTGGACAGGAGAAGCCACTCATCCACATGTGTTGCCCTGTGCCCTTCACAAGAGCCATGCTTAATATACATGGAAAAAATCGTTTGCCTGAAAAAATTACCTAATCAAATATTCTATCAAATGAGCAATCTATTGTTGATATTATGAAGGCCTTTAATCTACAATAAATCTTTGTTAGAACTCATCAGAACTCCCAGTTTGAGAGAAATGTGATTATAGCACTCTTAAAATGACATTACATCATCGGGGTGATTGGTTTATCATTTGGAGAAGCGACATCAATCATAACTAGCATAACCACACAGTAAATGAATTCAACCTTTCTACTGCAGAACAATGACACAATAATTGCTCAAAATCAGACTCGAAATGAAATCAGAAAATGCACTTTCTTTAAATATGATGTTAACCTAATGGAATATATTATTAAAAATCATGTTTGAGGAAGTTCTATGTAATTAAAAATATGTGAAAATGTATTCCTTTTTTCTCTCATTAGAACCTGTTTCAGTTGCAGAATCATTTTCTATGCAACAAGATATTATGCTGGTTTTAATTGAACTCCCATCACTTACATTCCTCTGGTTGTATTTCTTAATATAATATGCAGCACAATTATATGTGATGAAGGACAAGAGGTTTTTGAAATCTAGTGCACCTGCTGATAGTATTTTGAAAAACACAAACATTGTAGAAGGAAATGAGACCTTTTATCCATGAAATGTTAGTGGATTTTTTTTCCCTTTTAAAAGAATGTCAGTTCCTGCCATATAATTTCCTGAGATAGTTTCTTACAGCTAACAGCAGGAATAGGTTTATTTCTTCTTCTCATAGGTGTTTTATATATTTTTTTCTGGTAATATAAGGTGACTCAGCTTGTTGAAATGCCATTTTAATGGCTTCAGTCAAAATACAGTATAACGGGCTGGTTTTCAACCTTATATGGAAGAAAGAGAAGGGGTTTTCCTGTTTGCACTTTTACCTTTACTAGAGAGGATTTATTGCTATTAAACAAAATTTTGAAGTCACAGCACAACAATTTATTTGGATTTTTGTTCATTTTTCAGTCTATTACTTAGACACAAGATAGACCTACTCACACATTAGGTTTTCATATAATGGATCCATAATTGGGCACATTCATCAGCTTCAACCACTCTAACAATGAGAAAGTAGAAGCAGAATGATCTCTGGAGTTTTTTGACTTGGAGGAGAATTCAAAACTGTGGTTTAGATATTGTCATGATTCCCAAGAACTTGCTGAGGTTTAACTGGAAGGGGGATGGTACCCATTTTTTCGGTGTTCAAATGGCTTTTTGGCTCAGAAACAATGATACAAACCATTTGGCTCAATGTACCAACATCTGCCCACAGAGTCCTTTGGACACTGCTTAGAAAACAGGGTTTGCTTTGATTTTTTCAAGCAGTTTTTGGCAGCAAGGAGGGAAGAAAAGAGAAACAGGTTGGCTTGAAGGAAATAATTGTTTTCTTTAATGTTGTCTGTTAGTTAGAGTTGAAATAAAGTGTTTTGCTTATGAGCCTATTGTATGGAAATATAATGTAAAATATCAATATTCATTATATTCAGTATAAATATCTAGATGGATCTCCTGTGTTCCACAGATACTACCTGTCTATAAAATTTCATTATTATTATTTATGTGTAATTACCACCACCTCCATGCAGTTTAATCTAGTTTGTAAAAATCTTTTCTGAAAGAAGCCAGAACTTCCATTAATGCAATGTAGCTGGAGTACTTATTTTAGGTTCTCTGCTTGGAAGTGTTTGTTTTATAGCCCTCTTGAAATCTGGCATCAAATAAAGACATATTTCCAGTTTCTACTCTATAATGCAAACCAAAATGCAGAAGTATTGTCATCTTTAAGAAATAAATGAATCCTATAGGAAAATAATTACATC